GTGATCAGAAGAATATCTGATGAACCAGATAAAGAGTATTGGCTATTAAGAGACATTTCTACCATCCAACTTCTATGCTTGGATTCAGATAATTAACACTGATGGCCTCCAAGGGCAAGCCTGGAAATCTTAGTGGCTTAATTGAACACAAAAGAGTGTTTTTCGCTCACAGTGCAAAGCAGGTTGAGGCAGCTCTCCTATGTGGTTCTCCCAATGGATGTCTCAGGAACCTAGACTCTCCTGTCTTGCAGCCCTGCCACTTGGAACACACCGCCTCCAAGGTTACTGGGACAGAGGAAAAGACAGATGGAGGTGGCACGTGGGCTGTGAACTGTCTCGCCCTACTCGTGACACACTTCAATGCCATTCGCACTCAGTTGGCCAATATGACCCCATGCCCCAGCCAAAGTCCAAAGGAGGCCAGGAAATGAGGAGGAACCAAGGGCACTTGGTGAGACTAATGGTCTCTGGCATAACCTTCAGTGAAGGCACTTGACATCAGTCACTGCCAGAATTCTTTCTCCCTTGGGCAGTGCTGGGGTGATGCTGGCACATGCCCTCCAGTCCATGCAAACAACCCCTCTTTGGTTCTGACAGTGGAACTGGGGCATATTGCTGTAAACTAGACCAGGCTGCATATATGCTTATACTTGGATCTCCTTCATGTTTTAAAGGAGATATTGTACGTCTGTTTGGATTAGGGATATTTAGTTTATCTAACAGCAAAATGGAGATAACTTGTTCAATGTTTCTTAAAGTCTATTCCTTGAAACCCTGGTTCCTATATTTGGTCAAGGAGAGGGCTGTATGGTCAAAAGTTATGGAAAGCATTGAGGTTTTTGTTTGTTTGTTTACAAAAACAGTACTTTAGGGGAAAGGGTATAGCTCAAATGGTAGAGTATATACCCAGCATGCATGAGGTCCTGGGTTCAATCCCCAGTACCTCATCTAAGTATAAATAAATAAATACACCTAATTACCTCCCCTTCATAAAACAAACAAAAAACCAAAAAACAAAACCCAGTACTTTAATTACTGACACTAGCATCAGCCTTCTTCTCCTTTCTTTTGTAGTTTTCTTTTTTTTTTTAACCAGGTTACCAGTAAGGGGGGGGTTGTATAATAGAGGGAATGCGAGGTGGGAGGCGTAAGCTATTGGGTATAAGGGAGGCTCACCCAGCCACACTGACACTGTCCCTCCCCTCTCCAGAGAGAATGGACTATAGTATCACCTCTTAGGCAGCACAGAGAGTCCACCCTCTTTCTCACGCAGGACACCCCAGACTCTTCTATCTGTTGATCTGTGGCCGGCGCCATCTCCATCACTCACCAATGCCCACCACCCCTGGCCTTATTCCCCGTGGGGTGAACACCTTGGCTGTTATTACACCCTATGATTGGTTCAGTGGAGGCTGTGTCAGTCATTTACCCCCAGGCACCATCTGGCTACCCCATTAGGGCCCTAGGAAGTCCAGGCTCCACACTATAACCCAGGGCACAGCATGAGCCCCATCCTGAGCACCAGCCTGTTTCACATTCAGCCTGAATGTCCCTGGTGCCAAGGCCTGGGATGAGCCCCAGGAGAGCAGGGGAGGAAAGAGTTAATCAGAGGGAACTGCCAATCTGATGGAGGAGAGGGACACCTGCCCAGGACTCAGATGAACTGAGATATAAGAGTGATGAACCAGAACCCCACCTGGATGCCATGTAGGATTGTGGCTGCTTCTAACAGAAGAGAACTGAAGGCAACTTAGGTTTGAGAAAAGGAAATTGAGTTAGATGGAAGAAGATATTCTCGAGCGTATATGGAATCAGTTTCTAGAATTGAGCTCTAGACTCAGTTCAGGCTGGAGGAGTCTCCCTTGGCTTTTCTTGACCCGTTCCTGACAATCCATCACATTTGGATCCAGAATCAGAGATGCCAGGGCAGCAAATGTCCTGACCAGACGTTCCTTGATTGGATGAATGACCCTCCTCTGCTTTTAGAAAAAAACTGAACAAAATATAAAATCGAAACCAAAAGAAAAAAGAAAAGGAAAAAAAATCCAATCCTAAAACCTCAGGAAAGACCACTGTCCCAAAGCTTTTCCTGTGCCATCTTCCCAGGCCGCCTTCCTTTCTCTATGCTAGCTAGTATCTCCCCAACTCTGGTTCCAGAAATGCTTCTCTGGAGAAAGCTTTCAGCTCTGGCCCCAAATCACTCCCCCAGCACTTGTGACCAGAAATCTCACTGGCCTTATCTGTCTCTGAGTCCCGCCTCCCCCAACAGAATGAGAAGTCACTGCAGATGGGCCGGAAGTCTTTACCCTCAGAACTTCCTTCCAGCACTCAGGACAGAGACATCTTCATCCAGAGGCCTGGAGGAGCAGCAGGGGACAGGCTAAGAAAGTTTCTCTGGAATATTCTTGACCGTGTTTATGTCCTGAAGCAGAGCCAGCCTGGGCATCCGCTCCCCTGTTACCACCCCACCCCCACGCCGCAAACACACATACCCAGAGAGGCCAGACCTACTGAGAGCTTCCACCAGAGATCTGGGCAGTGATCATCCCCGTAATTGCAGGGCAGCAAGGGGAGATAAGGTAGTCAAATTACCATGATGCAGGAGGTAAGCAAAGCAAATGCAGGGTTCTGGGCCATTTTATAGGGGATTCATGGGAAGTTCAGGGTGGAAGAGACAAAAATCTCAGAGAGGAGATGGTAATTTCCTCAATGAAGAATCCAAGAGGGCCCATGTGGCCTAAAAGGTGTTCCCCACCTACAAATTAGGCTGACTCCCGCCAGGCCCCGCGCTCCAGCTATTTAAGGGGCGAGCGCGGACCGACAGCCCAGCCGCTCTCTGCGCCCTCTTCTGTCTCCCGCGCCGCCCATCACTCCGCGACCTCCCAGCCATGAGCCGCCAGCTGCATCTTTACCAGGGCGGAGAGCGCCTGGCTTTCAGCGGCTGCTCCGCCGTCATCTCGGGCCGGGTCAGCAGCAGCTCTGCTTCCTTCCGGCCTGGCGTCAAGGGCACGGCCACCTTCGGCAGCCGGAGCCTCTTCAGCCCGGGGAGCTGCCGGCGCCTGGCCCTGAGCACCGCTGCCGGGCGGGGCGGCTCTGCGCTGGGTCCCTGCGCCGCGGCCACGGGACACGGCCGTCTGGGTGGCCTGGTGGGCACCGTCTTTGGCAGCACCGGGCTGGGGCCCGCGTGTCCATCCGTGTGCCTGCCCAGCAGCATCCCTCAAGTCACCGTCAACAAGAGTCTCCTGGCCCCTCTCAACGTGGAACTGGACCCCGAGATCCAAAAGGTGCGCGCGCTGGAGCGGGAGCAGATCAAGGCGCTGAACAACAAGTTTGCCTCCTTCATCGACAAGGTGGGTCCTGGAGCGGCTGCTTGTCCCTGCATTGGTGACCAGTGTACATGGGGTCTCCCTCTGCCACTGACCAGGGCGTGGGAACTTGGGCGAGTTAGATAACCTCTCTGAGCTTCCCTTTCCTTTTCTGTAAAATGGGTGGCTCTAACCCCATAGGGTTGTCATAAGGACAAACCAGATGTTTCTAAGGTGTTTAAAACTGTGCCTGGCACACCCTCCCTGTAAAGGGGAGCTTTGTTCCGTCTTTGCAGGAGCGGACCCCGGGAAGGGAGAGGGATGTTTCAGGGGCAGGAAATGGTGGAACGGGCCATCTGAGGGTCTCCATATGAGACAGAGAGATAGGGACACACATCCAGGACAGAGGGTGTCCCAGGACATGATGCTTGGTGGCTGGGGAAGACTTGGAAGATAGGAAGTGGGATAAGGATGTTAGCTGGGAAGGCTTCTAGTGGAAGTGAGAGGAAAGGGCCAGAACATTGAAGGATGGGGCTGAGGGGAGAAGATTAGAAGGAGGGCCTGTCAAATTATATGTGTGTATGATGTAGGTGTGCGTGTGCCCAGAACTTGAGGTAACAGGGAAGATGGCTCTGGAGATTCAGACTCAGTGACCCAATGAATGGGAGGAGACAAAGACTGGGCTTCTTGTCTCTGCCCGGGAAGGTCTAGACCATGAGTGATAGAGGACGTAATACACTAATGGCAACTGACATCCATCAGTGCCTGGGTGAGTCCCAAGTGGTTCTCATTCATCAGTGCACCACCTGTGATTCAGTTATCATTCTGCCTTGCAGTGAAGAAACTGAGGCAGAGAGAGGCCAAGCAATATGCCCGGTCACTAGAACAGGCAGCAGTAGCCTGTGTCCCTCACGCCTATGCTTGGGAAAAGGAAGTAAGGGGGTTGGTGGAGAGAGGGC